ATTAAATACAGTAATGGTGTGGGTTAAAATTCTTCTACTACTCTCTGAATACCTCTTCATCAAAATAATATAAAAAGTTTTCCAGTTTTGCAAAGTTCATATCACTGCATTTCTTGTTTTGGAATTGTACCCCTTTTCGTGTAATGGCCGATACGGTATAAAAGACCCTTATCATTATTTTAAAATAAGAAAATATAAAACATTTGTCTATATTTTCACTTTCTTGCCAGCGCAGATAGAAGGGTAGAAAATGGACCAAACTATGTGCCGAAAAATGTTTGTTTAGTATTCTGCTAATTAGTCCGTGTTGATTTTATCTGTGCAGCCAGCGCCTGAACCAGTTTCATATTTTATTTATTTATTTATTTGTGTGTTTATTTTGCATATGATTCCTCCATTTGCAGATGCATTTGTATAAGAATCTAGCTGATTCACATTTACCGTATGCATTCCACCTGGAAGATTTATGTCACAATAGCAGGGCACCTTTATTTCAGAGGGTCGATTCAAAGCTTTTCGTGCTGCACTTACAATATATACAATGACAATGACGTCATACAACACAGTGACGTAGTACGATTTATGACTTCAGATTGCTATGATGTGTTCAAGGCGGGTAAAACCACTCCTGGTGTATATACTGTGTATCCTAGCTCTGACGTCACAAAGTCAAAACCCCCAGCACCATTGATGGTTTACTGTGAGGACGGGTGGACTTATCTTCAGCGGAGATCGGGCTACAGAAACCATTACCCTGTCAACTTCGATAGAGGTAGGGATTATAAACCAATCAGTTAAGTTTCGACTGTGTCGAATTTTTTTTCTGTATTCATTGAACATGGTGACTTCCAAAGTGCAATGCTAGTGTGGCACTAAACTTGGAATAATTTGGTCAATACAAGACACGTTAGGATTTCTTTGCAATAACATACTTTACAGAAAAGTAAAACTGGCATTGGTTGGACATTACGGAACAGAGTAAAAGTATCATTATTATAATACCATTTCATGGCTAAATGCATGCAAAAACACTCTACCTGTGAGAATCAGTGCATATTTGGAGTCACTGACTTATATTGTGATACCTTCATCTGTCAAAGATCTATAAGCATTCTTTTCGACATTGTTTTGAAAGTGTGGATCAAAGAAACTTGATATTATTCTTGTACATTGCAATAATGGTTACCATTCGTTTAAGTAAATTTGTTTCTCGAATCTATAAATTTGTTAATTCATTTATTCAATCCAGATTGGAATGACTATAAAGATGGCTTTGGGGATCTTCATGGTAATTTCTGGCTTGGAAATGAGAACATTCACTCTCTGACGAAGAACAAAGCATACAAACTGATGGTTCAGGTTGAAACTTTGTAAGTGTCATTGTATTGTTTCGGGGTACTAACGTTGGTGAATCAGGTAATATTAGTAAGGTTTGTTCTATTATATCATTTATACTAGTTTCGTCTGTTTTATCTATAGATATTGGTAATCTAATAAGCTAATGTCATTCTTTAAAACAACATCTTACAGTTACAGGAAAAATTATACACTTCTAACTTGTAATACCTTTTGTTGTTAGGAATGACAAAAAGAACTATGTCGCAAAGTACGAAGCATTTAACATCGATGACGAAGCCAATCTTTATACTCTACATGTCTCCGGGTACTCGGGCAATGCAGGGGATGGATTCGGAACTCACAACGGCCTTCCTTTCAGCACCAAGGATAAAGACAACGACAAAAGTTTCGGCTTTTGTGGCGACATCTATGGTGGATGGTGGTATCACGACTGTCGTCTGGCGGATCTAAACGGTTGGATGGAATGGTTCACCGGAAACAAATGGCTTTTCTTGGATCGCACCGTTATGAAAATTAAACCTGCTTTTGTAAATTAGATGCTTTGGTGAAAATGCGTTGATTTTGACGATAAATAAAGGAGAATGTATTAACGTTGCTAAATTTCAAAATATAGCATGGTTTCTTTTTTATTCATAATACAATCCACTGCACGGCCATCGACACATAGAGGTAGTTTGGGCACTAATGAAGAGTTTCCATGTATTGATGTATGTCACATGTAATACGTACTGGTACGTCGTATAAAGCAGCGTCGCGAAGCAGCAAGCTGGAGGTGGTAACACGGGATATGTGTAGCCTTCTACCTTTTCCTCGGAAGAGGTCTATGTGTGCTGCAATGTATTATCTTATCGTGACACCCTTCTTGGCCACCGTAACAGGTGACGGCATACCTCAGGCGTCTCATTCATGTTAAATAAACACTTGCACCTATACCCAGGGCCGGCTAGGTGACGCTGCTGTGTCGCACGTACATAAATGGAAGATGATTCTTGAAGTCTCAACACGAATGACACAGTAGTCATATTACACTTAGGAAGCGTATTCAGTAGCACTAAAATAAATGATTACAACTGAACGTAAAGTCTATTGTTTCAGTTGGATCACATAATATTCCTTGACAAATTCCTGTTTCAGGAGAATGCTTAGACCGCAGCAGATACCATGTTCTATCTTTTACACATTGCTCAATAAAATGATTCTATATTTAGAGAATAATGAGCATACTGTAGTTTTCATTCAAAGGTAATTGCTTACCAAGAGTACTTAGTCAGATGTTAGATGTAGCCAAAGGCTATGTTTCATCAGTACTTACCTGGAGAACATGTCATTCTCTATATGCACACTGTATAGGCCTATATAGTGAATCATTCAGACACTGGACTTCACCCTGATAGGAGGTGTGCAGGACTTTTTATACCTGAGGTGACTTTCATTTATTTACATATATCAGTATTTCATAATCTAGTTCTTTATTGTGTATTTCATATTTTTCCATTTATTATATTACTGAGTTTACTAATAGTTTGTTTGTATGCATTTCAGCCTTCATTGTTTCCAGTTAATAAAGATTGGAAATCAAATAGTGTCCATCTTATCTATGAAGGCTCAGGTATGATCATAGTCTACCGGTAAACAGTCCATCCTACAGGCCAGCATGCCAGTTGTAAAGTGCCCATTCCCAGACTGCACCTATGAGACAGAAGATGTGGCAGATACCATTGTCAACACACTATTGACAATACATGCACAAAGCCATAATGCCACTTCCTCTCAGTCATCTACAAAGGTCAAAACTGACAAGATTCGTCGCCCCACAATATCTACAGCGGGTACTAGTGAAGATTGGACTTACTTTCTGACTAGATGGAAAGAATATACCAAAGCAACCAAAATTACTGGCCAATATCGTGTAATACAATTACTGACAGAGAATGACATGATAGTGAATCATTTAGACACTGGACTTCACCCTGATAGGAGGTGTGCAGGAGTTTTTATACCTGAGGTGACTTTCATTTATTTACATATATCAGTATTTCATAATCTAGTTCTTTATTGTGTATTTCATATTTTTCGATTTATTATATTACTGAGTTTACTTATAGTTTGTTTGTATGCATTTCAGCCTTCATTGTTTCCAGTTAATAAAGATTGGAAATCAAATAGTGTCCATCTTATCTAATATTCACATACTAGCAAATTTGGATTCCAAGAGATAGCTTCTCGCCGCTTAAAAGGTCGGGCAAAGCAAAGGATTAGTGAAAAATGTCAAGATGCAAATGTGAAATACACGAATACCCTAAATTTTACCATATTGGCAAGGGTATTTAATGAGTAAGAAATCACAACAACAACAATAACAACATCAACAAAAACAACAACAATAATAATAATTTAAGTAATGTCGATACCCATGTGTTAAACCCCATATAAATAGTTCCAAGAGATAACCCACATCAGCCCCTGTAGATAACCCCTTCCTTCGCTATCTCGACCTTCTCACGTTATATGGGGGTCATTTTAAGCGGTGAGAAGCTAAGTACTTGTGTTTTAGCGTCCTGCCATCGTAAGAAGATGAACGTCCAATATTTTCTCATCGCATTGCTGTTTTATTGCGCTGCTCAAGGTATGTATGGCTTACAGATATTTAGTAATTGCAGGCATATGTAATGTGTGTATCATTTGATATGGATATGTGTTGGTTATTAGAAAAAAACACCCAACTTTGAAGTTTGATTTATTAAAGATAGAACAGGGAGCGATACGTTGGAAAAATTCTTACTTATTATCGATCCTCAATGGGTTGTGCTTTAATTCGATTGTATGGGCATACATGAACATCTTGGCATGAAAATATATTTTTAATATCTCTGTCCGCTAATTTGTGTATACTCAGTCATATATCAAGCATACTACGAGTATATGTTGCCATAGATATTTGATATTCATATTAATTTACATAATGTGTACATTTGTTAAGTATGTTCGTGTCGCAATGAATAAATGGAATTGTACATGCATCAGGGAACTCATTGAATTAAGTTGTGGCATTTGTTCAAAATTACATAAATAAAGATTTCATCTTTTAAGATGCAAATTAATTTTTTTTAAATGCAAAGCGACCAAATACATTTATTTGGTGTCAAAGTACAGTGGATTTTGGTGTTGATAACCAATATGACATACATACAGGCGGTTCAAAATCCAATTTTCTGCAAAGCAACACTATCCCAGACCACACATGGGAATGTGATTGTACATATATATAGGCACAGACAAGTTGGTTTTATTGACCTATTTCAGCCAATGGGAACAGCCCGCCTCAGTTCACAGCGCCACCTATACTTGTGATTAAGGAGGATCGGCCGATAGGTAATGCAAACCGAAAATTCAAGTATCCATTTTGAAAACAGCTATAAAATNTTTTTTTTAAATGCAAAGCGACCAAATACATTTATTTGGTGTCAAAGTACAGTGGATTTTGGTGTTGATAACCAATATGACATACATACAGGCGGTTCAAAATCCAATTTTCTGCAAAGCAACACTATCCCAGACCACACATGGGAATGTGATTGTACATATATATAGGCACAGACAAGTTGGTTTTATTGACCTATTTCAGCCAATGGGAACAGCCCGCCTCAGTTCACAGCGCCACCTATACTTGTGATTAAGGAGGATCGGCCGATAGGTAATGCAAACCGAAAATTCAAGTATCCATTTTGAAAACAGCTATAAAATTATGACACTTTTTGGGAAAACATGTTTTATGTATATCATATCCCAGATGTTTGAAGGCACAGGTCCCATCGTAATAACTGTAAGTTTTACTTCTTGTCCAAAGAGCAGCGTAATTTATGCACTCTTTTCTTACGACATAACCATGTAAGAACAATGGCAAATCAAAACCAATGTTTTCTTTCTTGTACAGGGTCTGTTGTTGGAACACTCAGGGCTACCGACTCAGACAGAGACAGCCTTACTTTCAGTGTTTCAGCCAGTGGATCTTCATTCGACCTCGTCCAGGTCTCTAACAA